GTTTGGAGTGTGTATATATGTCGATGCAAACCAAAGAGGCTACTGGAAAAAAACATCACGGCCTAACGAAAGTGCACAAAAAGTGGGTGTGTATGTCACAGTCCAGGTTGCTGATGGATCCATCTCCTATTTTGCCACACCTCGGGTTGTTGGACGCTGAAGAACATGAAGAATCAAGTTTGACTGCTTCGATCATGATTTCCAGGTAGGCTCCGATCATGTGCTGAATGCCTACTCGTGTGTTTTGGCCCTTAACGGACACCCAACACCCCAAATAAAGGCCCTGGTAAGAGGTGAATTTGTCTTTGAGAGATGACCGAAGTCGTCATCGGTCCAATCATTGGCTGTTCCGGGCAAGTTCAGACCACACAGGCTCACACATATGAAACCTCCACCATACCATACCATACCATCAATTTGGTGCAGAAACAGGTGGCTATGAAGGAGGCAAAGTGGGAACCATTGTGGTGGTCTTTGGTCAGTAAAAGCAAACAAAAAGGGGTCGGAGCAGTACGTTGTGCCACCGGGAGGGACAGAGAGAAACGAGTGGAGCAGGGTCAATGTAGCAGATATACAATGATATACAAGAAATATGATATGAATATGATATTTAGTTACTTGTTGTAATGGTTATATTGTAAAATCAGCTGTGTCCAAAGTCATGTTCCATACCTGGAATATCTGGCGAAAAAGATCGATGACTCCGCCACCGGACTCGCCACTCAACGCCGAGGCTCGTTGCCGACGACTTCGTCGGGGCTGGTCTTGAGAGGAAAGCGTCCACGGTCACCGATCCTGCCGGGGCACTCGGCTGGAGGGGGTGTCACCATGGAAGTTGTTCCAGGCAATTGCTAATTACAGTCTACAGTACAGGTTGATGTTGAGCTGGGGGATCCTTATACAGTACTTATACAGTAGCTAGTACCAAATAATTGGTCCAAGGAGAAGGGCTTCAGTTGTGTTTGTCACTGAGAGACCACCCACGCAATAGCATGCAGAGGCTGACACAGAGGGCCAGCAGAAGAACGTGATCAACTTCATCGTCTTCTCTTCTACGCTTCGAACGCTGAGAAACTCCGAGAGCTTCGAACGACCTGAAGCCTTGATGACAAATGATGACAAATACATACAAATACGAATCCATCACTAGCTGTCCACCACTGTCCGTCACTTCATCGCTAGCTGCGGAAGACCTGAAGCGGTCTGACACCGAATCCATCCGAATCCAAACGAATCGCTCGTCGACCGCCACGAAGCGACCGTTGATCGAACCGCGACCGAAAGGTCGGCGCAAACCGCCGGGTGCAGCGAACGAGCCCAAGGGCCTCGGTGGTAGCAGCTGGATCCCATAGTAACGCAGCTGGATGCCGGTGTGTCTCCGCTGGCTGTTTGCCTTCAGATTGGCACATGGAGGACCAGTCATAGTCACAAGATGTGACATGGCCCAAGTCTTGCAGTGAAGGAAGTGGCGGCAACATGTGGTGTCTAAGCCAGCGGCCCATGATTCATGAGCTTTAAGGAAGCTATGACCCCTACTCTGGCGCCTCTTCCACCGGAATCTCCGCTGGGCTACTGAGCTTGGAGCCGAGATGCAGGTGTGGTTCCATCAGCCCTTCCTTGGCAAAAAATTGAGCCCCCAAGAACTGCAGCTGCAGCCAAGCATCGGGCAGCTCGAGGCTCAGCATTCAACAGCCAAATCACATCAGGAATCACATCGCCGTGCAAGTTCTAAAACCAATTCCAAACGGAGCAAAACCATGATCCACCATTTCCACGGATGTCCCCATCGAAGTAGAGAAACATAGATTCCGCAGCCGGTGTGCAAACAGTTTTCATACATTTCCTTCAGCAATGCCGTGCTAACAGTTTTCCTTCATACACACCCGCAAGGGTTGGATGCATTCCCCGATCCTTATCCAAGTTAGATGCATCCAACCCTTGCGGAATGACCATCCTTCGAATGAGTCTGCCTTCAATCCCGGAATGACCATCCTTCGATTGAGTCTGCCATTCTTCGTGTTCCCCACTTTGTTTTTGCGACTTGTCGTTGTCGGTGCCTTTTCTGCATGATCAGGACAAGTTTGTTCGTGGAATCGTCCTGATTCAAGTGGAACATTAGCCAAGCGGGCTTTGCGTAGTGTTCCTTTTTCCATGAATCTTTTTGGTGTCCTATTCTTCACATGTTGAATCCCCTTCATCTACGATAAGCCAAACCCTAGGGTCCTAGTCCCTTCTTGGATGTGCAGTTATATGCAAACGACAACCCCAGACAGCAGGGCATGGCACAAAAAACTGGTGTGCAGATGAGTCCACATGTCCTTCTCATGTGGCTGTGGCTCCCAGGTTGGACTCAAATCACCGTGATCACCCATTGATCCAACAGAAGTGGATGGACTCAGCCAGCTGTGGATGTCCGGTTGCCCTTTTGGACGACGTCAACTCCGTGGCCTCAGGCTGGTGCTGGTGGGAGATCCAGTCATTGAAGCTCCTCCCCACGTTTGGCAGGTGCCGGTGACGGGACGAGTGACGGTCCCGTCCGTGAGGGGACTGCAGTCCGTTTTGGACATGGTGGTGGGGTCAACAAGCTGTAGCGTCCCAAACCTCAATGACAGAGTAGATATCGAAAGGACAATTTGCTTTAATACCCACACCATCATGTTTATATATTGAACCAACAATAACCAGTATCTCGGAATCCCACCATCGTACGGATCTCCAGGTTGGTGTTAGTCTCGTGAAAAAATGTTGTAGGCTAGGCGGAGCCGGTGGCTCGAAGTAAACGCGTGGAAAATGGAACAGATCTGGGCTACTTAAGCGGTTTCGTTGCACAGTTGCATGCAGCAACGCCTATATAATACAAGGCGCCTCCAGGCAGCATTGTTTGCAATGCCTAGAACATGCACTTTATACAGACACTCCCAGTGATTCAAGGTCCATGCAACACATTCTACTAAGATCGTGAGGGATATACGACCAAAAGATAAAACAGACTCCCAAGGAAAGTATAGATAGACCTGGACCATTCTATTTCTACGCATGCAGGACAAACTGAAGCACCGGTGCTAGTTGGGTGTATTTGGCGAAATACTTGACAGCATTTTGACAGCGCTACCGTTCTGGAAGAGTTGATGTCCTTTTGTTTTGTTGCGTCCAGGAGTCCCCAGTGGCCGCAGATTGAGTTGACCTAGGATACAAGCCCCAAATTAAACTGAAGTTGTGTGGATGGTCTCATGCAGTGCTGTCATCAACTATATAGATTATTTGAGTAATGTGTGTTTGTCTCTAAAAGGTCATCCGGAAAACCTCGCTGAAACAGCGACAGGAGCTGGGGGTATCCATATTCCCCACAATACACAGGGAGCCATAGCCCTTTACTGTGAACATTAGGACTGCCCGACTGCAGACGATCGTTGCCCACATCGGAAGTTCGTCGGAAGTTCACTGAAGATGATGCACGACGGCTTGAAATCGATCATCGATCCACAGCAACACTACATTTTGGTCATCACCCAGACATACCCAGGCCCAGACCAACCAAATTGGAAGCATTCGATATATGGAGTCGGAGCCATTGCATGCAATTGCGGTAGGGTCTCGCACACGCTCCAGATGCCGCAGAGCAGCTTCGAGCGTCTTCATGCGAGTGGATGCCAGGAGACCTGTAGTGATGTGTGTTGAGGACATTGAGGACATGACCTACCCAGGAAAAGTGGAAAACCTTCAACGGTTTTTTTGAGGATTGGTTTCACCACCAAATCAGGAACAGGTGACTGAGGGAGTCAGGCACTGCCAGAGACCGCGCAGCTCCGGTTTTGGTTGATCTCGGACTGGACCTTTCTAGGGGTTTCATGGGGGGTGTGAGAATCTCGGCCCGGACGATCCCACCGACCAGGCGGTACGGTGAAGGTGAGAAAGTCGTCCTGAGGAGATAGAGATGGCCGCGCTACAGTATCTCCTGGGACGAATGGATTTCTTGGTCATTTAGACATCTTTTTTCGAGAATTTAGAAGATAGCAATGTGTCAAGTTGCATGGGCCCCTTCAAGTTCTCGAGAAATTTCGAAGTATACATACACTCACTGTCTACTGCAAACCGGTACCTGCCAAGTGATGGGAGACATGTTGTTTCGTGTGAGGACGAAACGATCCACCGGAGCCGGAGGGGCGGCTGAAAACGGTGAAACCGACCAAGCCATTGGGAGATACGGTCTTGAGGGTGCCCAAGAAAACGCCAAACACGAGCTGGTGAAGAAGCACCCAACCACAGCTCTCCAATGAAAAACGCAGAAAAAAACATTGGAGAGCCGAAGGTCCCGCACCAAGGGTTTTCCAATGAAAACAGCATGGTTTTCCAATGAAAAACGGTTTCCCACCATTTCCCGCACCATGCGTCGAGCAGGAACTGGTCGAGCTGAGTTTGGGAGCGACTCATTCCCAGTCGAGCAGCGCGCGCGGCGCCGCTCTGCCCCGGCTGTTTTGCGTGGCCTATCGGCTCTCGCTGCCGGGCGCCTCAGTCAATATAGGTGGTAAATGCGGATCGGAGTGATGCGTGGCGCAGCATTCTAGGTTGTCAGAGCTCAAGCTGACAAATTGCAACAAGAAAGGAGGCTTCTGGGGAGTGGAATTTTTACAAGTTGCTGGTGAATGTGGGCTTACCTAGTATATAATTACTCATTGGCCGTTTGTGGAGGTGTTCATCGTTTCTCCACTGCAATGGTGTATTTTGTTGAGCTTGTCCTGCTGAGCGCGACTAAGCTTTCAGCACGTTATTCAATATTCACAATATGGCTGCTCAAATGGTTTCACATTGTTGTGCGCTATTTGGTGTTCTTCCATCTTCGACGTTGTCGGCCTTGTCTTCATCAACTCAATGTGCGCCAGCCAAGAGTTGTTGATCGCTTTGGCTTTTGCAAGGTCGGATTGAGGCGGACAAAACGTGAATGTTGAAGGAAGAACGTTTGCACTGTGTGTTCCAAGTCAAAGGCAGGCAGATGAGGGCAGGCAGCACACTTCTGTCATCACTACCAATGAGTATTGGACATGATTTGATTGGACATGTAATATTATGACTGCTATCCCAAGCTTCACAAGGTGTCATGTGAAACTGCCCTGACATTTGCGCTGCAGCCTTTCTGTATAGTGCTCAAAAGCTGCTTGCTTCAAGGTCTTTGCGGTTGAACCAAATATGGTGTCGCCTCATCGACACATGCGCATGATCTTCCTTGTGCTTCCTTACAGCTGGTGCACAATGCGCATGATCTTTGGATTCTCAGGCAGGATTTTCCTTTCTATTGTACAGAGTCTGCACAAATAAACAAGAATAAACATCACAACGCTATTTTCTTGGAAAAGGCGAGCCAACCGCCTACCCAGATCTGCAGTTGTTCACTCTCAAAACCTGCCAGTCTAGGTGACACATCCGGCTTTGCAGTGAGTCACTTGCAACCGGTACGCATGGGTACACCGCAGGGTCCGCATGTGATGGTTCGCCTCGGAGCCCCAAAGAGTCACAGAGTCACTCAGTGCTGCGCTGCAAAGTGCACACCAAGTCCATGCAGAAAGACGATTTGAGGTTGGTTGACTTGGGCTTTCTGGCATCTCAAGCAGGGCTATGGTGGAAAATCGTAGTGATTGATCAGCATCAAGGCGAACAAGACAAAAAAATCGAACACCTGCAGGTTGATCAGAATGCAATTGTGCATCTAGTTGAGCAACAAGGTCAACGACAAGATGCTCATCTTGCAATTGCTTTTGCCAGCACTCTGTTTTTTTTTGTGTTTGGAGTTTTTTTTGTACCGATTGTCCTTCTCCCAAAGTAACCGTCAGGAGGACAAAGGTTTCTATCAGCAGAACAACTTTTTAACAAGCCCAGATTGGGACGAGTTTGTAATGTCCGTGTTTTATTCTGCTGCGATCGCTGCGTTCGTAGTTTTGGTTGTTTGTATTCTTTTATATTTTGTTGTGGCTATGATTGAAGGACAGCTTTCCTTTGACTTGATTTGTCAATTGCTGCCTTGGCTTTGGAATCTTTCCAAAGGAGAACGACTCCGCCTTTTTGCAGAAAAGTTGCCGGGTGCAGCTGCGTGCTAGCTGCTTCATTTGAAGGCGCCTGTGTGCTTGTCACTTTGTCATTGATCCGGCCAGGTACAGAATGGTACAGATGCTACAGCCGTTCACCATCACGCGGTGTTCCCTTCGGTGCTTAGAGCTCAACATCGAAGGAGAATTTGCAATTGGGCAAGTGCTTGGGTAAACAACTTGACCATACGAATTGTTCATGTGTTTCGAGATAAATGGTTTTGAGTTTTGAAGCACCTGCTTTGAGTACAATTGGTTCTGAGACCCCCAGGTCTTGGTTATCCTTGGTCTCTGGGCATGTTCACGTGTTGCTAATTGAACGTGACAGATCAATGATACCCAGCACACTCAAAGTGCCGCGATATATGTTTTGATATATAGTGGTCCTTTGGGGCATGTTGAATATCAAAAGCCAAAAGAGGTCACTTAGAACAAGGTCCCTCGATATCAAAAGGTTCTTTATATATATATAATATTCCAGATGTTCCACCACCACCGATTCGACCCTTCGTCCTCCGGTCATTTGTGGCCCCGCGCAACTTCATCGTCTTCAACGAGACAAAAGTCTTCAATCAGACAAAAGGCCAGGAAGCTGGATTGGAACGGGAAACGGGATTGTGGGATATATTGTATCGAAACATGTTTCAGTCATCCAGCTTTCGGAGCCATCGCACACATGTGTAACATGCATAGCGAAGCAACACCTGTCGACCCAACTTTCGAGGGTGACACATCACCGCCATTGATTTGCACTTCCCTACCTTAGTGGTAGTGAACCGTCCAAAACATGCATGCGTGCAGTGCACAAATGATGTTCTTCAAAAACATCAAAAATAACCAAAGCTCCAGATCCTCTTCACAGTAGCAACTGTTCCAGAGGGGCGCCATGTAAGGCGCTTGATCTAAGACCACATGGTCGATCCTCAAATCACGTGGCTTGCTTATGTTCCACCTGCAGCTGCAAGACTCATGAGTCATAAGTTCCAGACTTGTGGCCCTTAGGCCTCAGCTTCCACCGAAGTTTTCCCTGAGAAATCGATTCTGATGCCAAGCCTAAGCTCGCACTGAACAACCCAAAGGCTTGAAGAACGATGTACACTGTCCTGTTGGAGCAAGAAACTGTTTAGTGCACTGTGGAGGAGGAAGATGGCCTTCTGCAACCGTTCCAAGTTCACTTGTGTTAACATCGGTCCCTGCTTCAAATTGATCGCTTCCCTCGCTGCCACTGCGTTCACAAATACGGCAGCTCGCAGCCTCACATGTGAAGGCAATATACCTCTGCCGACATGTGTCTCCAGCCAAGGGACTGTGCATGTACTGAGTCAGGGTTTTGTGCTGCCAATGCCAGGGTCACGCCCATAAGCCATTTGGCCAGGATGGTGGACTCCTGAATGTGAACTTAATCGGACTCCTGCGAACTTCATCCAACATGGTTTTGAATCAACATGATCCAAGCGTCCATTCCATTGAAGTGCTTTTGCTTGAACGAAGGAAACTGCTTGGCATCAGGGAGAAGATCTTTCCTGAAAAGACATGGTGTATGGCGATGCTGCACAGTGGTCATTTGCACCTGATAAAATGCCGCAAAGGAGCATGCAATGGAACTGCCCTCGGTTTCCTGAGTAAAACTTGCTACATCAGCTCTATATAGAACGCCTTCTGCAATATAGTCGACAAGAAACGAATCTTGTGACGTTTGCACATCGCTGAGAACTCCTGATAGGCTGCAAGAACACGTTCATCAGCTTTTCCTCCTGAGGCAGGTTCGAAAGGTATACCATACACCATGCAGAAAAAAAAGCAGCTGGCCTGGCCAATACCGTTCTTCTTCACATATCTCGGCGATAGCCTGTAGCATTGTGAAATTGAGGCTGCATCAAACGATATATATTTGCATGCAAATGAGAAACACTGGCACTGGCATCTGGCAGCATAGCCAAATCAAAGATATGCAACCAATCATAATGAACCATCCAAGGCAGGAAGCCTGGTAGTCTAACCCAGGCATTCGAATCACACAGCTCAGCCACAAATTGGTTCATGTCCAACAACGTCTTTCGATGCTCTGCCGTTTCTCCATACTGTGTGTACAGCAGTGGAGAGCCAGGCACACGGCTGGCCATGCAACTGCCACAGACATTGTGGCTGACCCATGTCCTCCTGAAGTGGAACAATTTCGCCAGTGCCTTCTCGTCTCCTCGAATGGCCACAAGAATGCCCCGCCATGGGCCAGCAATCCTCTCACCAGCGATTCCACTTCTATGGTTCATGGGTTCATTCCAAGGCGAATGCTGCAGCCACCTTCCAGTGGCCAGTTCTGTAAAGCTCCACACTAGCCAGCTGTCAAGACAATCGTAAGAGCTGGAGCATGCCCTTGCGTTGTCAAGAACATAGCAAACATAACGGCATTCAAATGGGCTGCCGCCAACTAAGGCAGATCCAAAGCTAAAGACCAAAAAGCTTCGCCTTCTGTGTGACTCACCATCGTCACAATGGGCCACAAGAGGAACGCATCGACTGAGGTCTGTCGCCTTGCTAGCATGGCATTCACACGATACTCAAACAAATGTTAATCATGATCCATCGAGGATTTCAATGCTGTTGAAAGAGCTATAACTGCGATAAGTTACAGGATCTGATAAAACTGGGTGCTGCTTGAAGAACTCTGATGTTTTGAGCGTTTGCCAAAACTTCTCGAGATCCTAGGATGGAAGTGCTTGCAGCCTGCAAACTGAATCAGTCCACATTGAGGCATACAGGGCCACTCATGCATACAAGGTGCTCCCGGTTTTCCCAAAAATCTTTGGGAAAAAAAGCTTCGAGTCATACTGATAGATGTGTGCAAACCTAATTCAGGCTGAACATCGTTTGTGCTAGAGCTCAGGAACCATTGCCACAAAGGAACACTTCAGATGGAAGAAAAATATGCCATGAATCGAGGAAATACCTTTCTGGCAAGGACTTGTCCTCCAAGACAATGTCCACCCTTAGATCCAAATCTACTCCATGGAAACTACTTGATCACCATGCATGGCATGATCGCAACATATGTTAGCCATGGTTCTCAAACAGTTGGGGCAACATTTGCCTCCATGGCTGTTTGTTCAGCCACTTCCAAAAATTTCGAGGTGCATTATGTCCACTTGCACGCTGGGACCGAAGCAAATCCTGCATGTTGGTCCTGAGGAATGTCTACCAGCTAGTATACTTCAGGGATCTTGTTTTTCACAAATATATACTGCTCGAGAGATATAATGTTTCACATCCCAAGCTACGGAAGAAGCCTGCGTGGAAACCGCCTGTGAATGGCTTCCATCATTTTCATCAATGTGGATACACTCACCTGCAGCGTGCATGGACTTAAGAAAAGCTGTTTATGCACATGCTAGGTGAAACATGTGATATCTCTCGTCTCTTCCTCTCTCTCGATGTATGTATGTACATATATATATATATATAGCATAGTAACTTGCAACCAAACCACTTTCCGACCCAATTCGAGGAACTCTTCCACAAGGTCCATGGCTGCTGTCTGGGTATGTTGGCTCTTCATGGCCCTATGCATATGTATAAGGCCCATAGGTCCCCATGAAAACATATATGTTCAAGGCTGCCTCGATCCATGGACTAAAGTCAATCAAACACCAATCCATATCGATATAGTTGTGTTTTTGTGTTGTCAAAACCTTGTGCATCAACAAAAACACATCGGTACCAAGGGCTAGTGTACCCCTATGTACAAAAGCCCCTGAGCAAACATGACAGTTCGATCCAGTGGGTTGGTATTGAACAGTGAGGACCTTTCGAAACGAAACGACACAGCCGCAGTCCCACCATTTTCCCTGTTCACTATTCACGACCTAGATCGTGCTTCAGTGATCCCCATTGGATTGGTCACTGCTTACCTCTCAAGCAACATGGGTCCACATGATCTTGTATGAATGAACAAATTCAATTGTAATAGCGGTTCGAGGTGTAAGAACTTCAGGCCCAAGACACTTGATCTATGGCTGGCAGTGCTGCTGCTGGCACTTCTTTCAGTGCTTTTGCACACAATTGCAGCTGACTGTGCTGCGTGTGTGCCTGGAGACTTTGTGAACCTGTATATAAACATAGCTAGCTTAGCTATAGACTTGAAACATCTTGAACCATCAACGTCCGAGTTTATGAGGCCCACAACAAAATCAACGCTCTGGTTCCATGAGTGGGATTTGATGGGATCACCAGCAAATTGGAAGGTTTCCAAAGCGGTATTTCCGAAGTTGCCATGAACAACATAGATCTACTTAGTCATCCCCAGAACCCACTTCTTCCCCAGAGCTCTCATTTGGAGGTTCATCATTGCCACCTCCTCCTTTGCGCTTCGAAGGAGCCTTCACATTCGAGACTCGCTTCTTTCCATCGCGGACATCACACTCGATTGTAGCAAGAGAAGGTTTCAACCTATCAAGCAAAGTGTTGATATCCTCACAAGTCAGGGAGGAAGCTGGCGCGTTAGACATCTCATTGACCTCTTCCAGCATTGGAAGAAGTTCCTTATGGTGACCCTGCAAGACAGCTGCCTTAGATCATTTGTGTGTTTGGTTTATGGACTATATCGATGGCACATGTATAATGGTGGTCATGGTGAAATCATCGAATTGATTTGATACAAGTTGCAAGCTCTTCGGAGTTCCTGACTCCGTGAGTGAGGAATTCTAGCAAGAGATCTGGAATAGTCTTGTCGAGCTTCTTCAACCTGAGGTGGAAGTATATATGGATTGAGGGGTTTAAATCAAAGGAAACAATACAAGCAAAGTAACTTCGAAGCCATCTTCTTTAGCTCATCAATTGCCAACTGCTCTGGTGTTTTTTCCTTTTTAGGTTTCTTCGATTGGATGCGACCAGTCTTTTGATCCACCAGCGTTGCACCTTCCAGGGATTGAAGACCTTGTCCAAGCTGTTTGGCCTCAACAGTACTGAAACAAAAACACCCTAGGGCTGGTGGGGTGTATGTGGGTTTCTTTGGGCTTTTTTGAAGCCTCCAGGGAAACCATTTGGAATTCACCAAGTGCCAGGATTGCCAGTAGTATACATTGCAATGTTCCATGGGCTGGTGCATGACGGTTGTTTAACAGCCC